AAGAAAGAGAAGGATGTAAGAAAGGAGACAAACAGAGAAGAAGGAAGGAAGAAGAAAGGAGAGAGAGAAGGAGGGAGGAGGGAAGGGAAGGAAGAAGGAGTGAGGGAACGAGGGAATGGAAGGGAAACTTACTCCTGGAGGAATCAGGACAAAAGGAGAACTTTTTGTACCCAATCTGTAATCCAACGTTGGAATTCCCAACACGAGATCCGGTGCTGGCCATCAGCTGGGTTGGCTTCAAACAAGGCTTGGACCCACTCAGGGCAATCTACAGAACTCAGAGCCTGGATGAGACCACCACTCAAGGGCATCTTTGGGAAGGCTGAGAACTTCTAGGCCCAGCTTGGTTGCTTGGTAGTGGAGAGAAGAGGCTGCTGGAGGACGGAGTCCCATCAGCAGGACACAGCTTCTGCTCTGAGTTTGGGCCTCTTGCTAGCTAGTCCATCCATCTGGGGTCCTGGAGGGTGAGTGCCCTAGAGACCCAAAACCAAACGAAGAAGGGGTTCTCGGGGTGACCCTCCCAACACAAAAGTCCAGCAGGGAGGTCCACCAAGAGTGAGGAGGCCCACATGTCAAGGTGGTTGCTACCAAGATGTTATTTATTGTGCCTGGAGATACCTTGGGTGGCCAACATCTTGGCTTCTTGGCCATCATCTTGGGGACCCCTGCAAAATCCACAGAGTGGGCAGCAGGAACATGGGAGGTTTTTAAGAAGAGATTGGACAGCCATTGGTCTGGAATGGTGTCTTCTGCTTGAGCAGGGCGGGGTGGACTAGAGGACCTCCAAGGTCCCTTCCAACTCTGTGATTCTAAGCTTGGCCCGCTGAGGTCAAAGGGCTTGCCATGAAGCCACAGTGGCCTCGTTTCCATTCATTGTGTCAATGAATGGAAGTGGGGGTCATTGACATATACGCAATGAAGGTCAGTTCTGGCCTTGAGACCATCAATCCATCACAACCTGTTGAAGATGTCACAAACAGAACAGGCACCACCAGCAGCCAATGGGGCATGGGAGGGGGCGGAGCCCAAAACCCCCAGGCAATTATGGCCCTCAAAAGGGGAGGAGCTCCCACCTGGCTGAGAAAAGGGGCGGTTTCTGGGAGCTGATTGACAGCCGGCCTTCTCAGCAGCTGGAATTGTGAAGCACTCTGTGACAGAGCTACTGGGGGGGTGGGACTTAAGCCGGAGGGAGCCAATCAGGTGGGAGCCTGGTCTTGAAGGGCTGCTGAGCCTTAGAATTGGGTGGCAGTTAATGCTCTGAGCAATGGGGGCGCCTACTGGGAGGGATTGAGGGAAGGGGGCGCCCTGGGGGTCTGTCTCCCCTCTTTTCGGCCCTGGAAGCGAAGAATGACGGGTGCTTGGCTGCTGTTTTGGCTCCTCTTCAGACTTGGTGGGTAGAAATATTTGGGGTGGGGGGCAAGGAGTCCAGACTATGGGGCTTGGAGTGGGAGGGGGGGAGGAAGAGCAGCTGAACTACAACTCCCAGAAGCCAGCCAGGCAGGCAGGCTCTAGTGGAGGGATATTGGGAGTGGTAGTTCTGCCCATCCCTGGAGGCTCCAGGGTCCCTTATGCCCCGCTCCAAACCCCGACTTGGGGCCACTGGCTTGTAGGATCGAAAGGAATAAACCAAGGGAGAGGCCTCTGAGCATCTGCAGAGTGCCTTCCTAGCAGCAGAGGGAAGCAAATCGGCTTCTGCTTTATTTACCCT